AAACTCACAAATGATGTTATCGATAAGTGTTAGGTTAGTGAGACAGTAATAAGGTTTTAATCTATCCAATAATAACTCATCAAGTGATTGAGGAGAAGAAGACAATTTCAATTCTAACCGTATCTTGACATAAGAGTGAAGCTCATTTACAGAGACACCACGAGATTTCAATTCTTGGAGGATATCAGAAACTAGCTTGGCAAACTTTGACTCTAGCTGACTGAATCTTTTGAGACATGGCTTTTGAACTTTAACTGAGAGATTAACTAATGTAGCTTGCTGTATGCTCTTTGATGCCACAGAATCAACTCTATCTTTCATCTCTTCCTGGCTAGGGTTCATTGTTCTTATTTGTTGAGCTAGTTCCTCTAGTCCTCTCATTTTAGTGAGTGCATCTGATATAACATTCCAATGAAGGGCCTCCTCATTGCTTGTCTTCAACCATAAGTCAAACATCTCTGCTTTACATCTCTCCACTCCCTCATGGAAGAACTGTCTGCGAATCTTCTCTAATTCATGTTTAGGTATGTTCAAGTGTAGTCCCAGGACTTCCCAATCAACTACTGGTAGAAGCTTTGAAAGGAGCAAGGAAAGAGAAACTTTGGTGACCTCTGACATTCTCTTGTAGCTTCAGTGGAAATTTTTCTGATTGTTGTCTCTAAGGAATTGAAGTTTGTTATACATAGTTATTATTATCATGTAGATATATACATTGATAGATCAAGATTTTTTATACATGATAATATCTAATAAATTTAAAAATTTGTAAAAAATGTGAATTTGATCGGAATCACTTTAAACTTTTTCCAAAGCATATGTATATGCATCAAAAAGAATTGAACAATTGTAAAATTCTCTCCTAGTCATTTTTGGTGAAATTTGGCCAAAATCCCTGTACAAGGACTTTAGCCTGATTTTTAAGCAACTTTACATGCATGCATCAGAAAATGTAATAAATCTCTCTTGGAAAAAATATAGCTGTTGTTGCACCCTGAAATTTGTAAAGACTAAAGAGAAATTAAAATTTACAGACCAAAAGGAAACAGTAGGAGTGGCAGTGCCACATATTTGTTATTATTTTTAATAGCAAAGCCAAAGCGAATCATGGTTGACTTATGTCAGTGGAGAGCTGCCATTGGTCTATGGAATTGCTCTCGTATCAGTTTTAGAGGAGTACCACATCATTTATTTCGGACTCAAGAAGATTGCGGTCAAGTACCTCAAAAACACAATTGTACAGATACAGATCATCATACTACTAGATCCAAATCTGCTGCTCAAGATAACATTATTCATCATACAGTTTCTACTACTGGTGAAGCTGCTACTATTATCAGTTGGGCTTGGTCTCTATTCTCTACTCCTGAAACTGTTTGCTTTCTATTCTACCTTTTCCTGCATATCCTTCTCCTCCTCCTATCAGGAGATGTTGAACTCAATCCTGGACCAACCTCTGAAACAAAAGAAGGTACATTTAAGTGACTAGTCTCAGTGCCCAGGCCTCCCACCTACAGTCATTGGGATTTAGGTTGATTATATTATAGAAATGAGTTATGACATTTATGTCAAGCATGCATGTACATGAGCAATCAATGAATAGTTTTTGTAGGATTATTAAATCTAGTTTTAATTATGATAACTGTAGTAATTTAGCTGATAATTTACTCTGCGATGTATACACACAATGTTGATTGAGTATAGATATGAGTTGTTATTGATTTATAATGCACTGTTTAGCATTAACAGTGTATAAAGTTTACTTTGACAGTTCTAAAGCAAATAAAATACTGTTTGTTATTAACACGATAATAATTATTATTAAAGCAAAAATATGATGAGAGTTGTTCTTTCAATATGTAGTTATTCGAAAAAAGATAGAAGCCAGTCTGAGAAGTAAGTATGCTGATCTTGAGCTTGCTACAAGAGGCTGTATTGGTGAGATAAGACCACAACTCTATGCAAAAGGATTGATAACAGAGGCATTGAGGGACTCTGGCACTTATGCCCAAATAAGTGACAGTATCAAAGCTGGGATGCTCGTGGTTGAAAGTATTGAGCAGTTGACAAAACGTTACAAGGATTTCCTGAACTCCATTTCCTCTCAAGGGGGACCCTGTAAAGTTGCAGCTGATCAGTTAAATGAAGAGCTGGAAGAAATTTTAAAACTTGAAGAAGTGCAAATTAAACATTGTAAGTATTATTGCAATTTATTATTGTGCTGTCATGATTAATTATTTTATTTTATATAGCTGTCTCTTTAGAAGAGGAAGCACAAGTAATCCCAAAAACCCCAGAGTCCCATCGACAGTTAAAGTTGGATCCTGAAGCTGAGAAAACTATTTCTAAATCTATCAAGGAATTAAGTAGCTCTTTTAATGACTTATTAAAAAAGCTAAAGAATGAATTGGAAAAGGTTTGCGTTGCTGATGTAGTGGAATATCTGGAAGAGAACCGTTTAGATGACCTTCCATTCGACGACCTAAAGACAGCTAAAGACTTCAAGGAATTGATTATTAAAGTCAATGAGCATTATGATTTCTTGGACTGCTCTCTTCTTCAATTAATAGCAGAAGAGTTTGCGACAGAAGCTTTATCTGAAAAATTTGAAGAGCATTCAAAGGTTGCTGCAAAGTTTCGGGAATCACATACAGTTGATGATCTTAGAGACAACTTAACAGAGATATTTAATCCATACCTTGATGATTTCGAAAAAGGACCCAAAGCACGTATAGATCTTAACAATGCCTGGAACAAAGTTCAGTTAAATAGACTCCGTACTCTCATTGGATGCTTCTTTCCTGACATCAATTCAAAATCCCTAACAAAACATGTTCTAATTAACTGCAGATCTGTTCACATCACGTACTACATGACTGAATCAGCAGATCAAATACAACAGATAATAGCCTGTGCACGTGAGAGGGTGGACTTTATGAAGCATATTGGTCTCTATCACCTTGCTGTTAATGGGGAAGTCATTCTGGATGAAGCCAAAAAAAATGATTTCAAATTTGAGTCGGCATTACAAGAAGCATCAAAGGTAGGTGATAGTGAAGCAGTGGAAGTACTCCTTGATATAGGAAGAGGTACTGATGTGTTAGGGGATATTTCTAAGGCATTGTTCCATGCTTCTAGTAATAATCACTATCGAGTCGTTAAGCTCTTACTTAATGAAGGCGCTAATCCAAATGTTAGAAACACTGTTGGAGAACCAGCTATACTTGCAGCTAGCAGGAAAGGTCATCATAAAATAGTCGAGTTACTTCTTAAGGAGAATGCTGATCCAGATGCACAATATCAAATTAATCAAGAAAGTGAAGGCACATCTCTTGCCCTGGTTAGTGAATTACTTCTTGGGCATAAGTTTGTGGTAGCAGTTAGGCAAAACGTTGGCAAGACAGCATTAATGGCAGCTAGTTTCAGTAATCATTATCGAGTAGTTGAATTACTACTTATAGCAAACGCTGATCCTAATATTCAAAAGAAAGATGGCTGGACAGCATTAATGCTAGCAAGTCAAAGTGGTCATACTGAAAGTGTTGAGTTACTCCTTAAGGCAGGTGCTGATCCTAATATAAAAGAAGAAGATGGTTGGACAGCACTCATAATAGCCTGTCAAGGTGGTCATGCTAAAGTGGTTGAGTTACTCATTAGTGCAAATGCTGATGTTAATACAAAGCAAAAAGACGGAGGAACATCACTCATGATAGCCTGTCAAGGTGGCTGTACTCAAGTAGTGCAGTTACTTCTTAAGGAGAAAGCTGATCCAAATATTTGCTCAGATGATGGTAAGACAGCACTTATGTCAGCCATTTTTAATAATCATCATCAAGTAGCCGAGTTACTTCTAAAGGCCAAAGCTGATCCTGATGTGAAAGGAAAAGATGGTTGGACAGCACTCATGGTGGCTTGTCAAAGTGGCCATACAAAAGTGGTCGAATTGCTTCTTAATGCAAATGCTAATCCTAGCATGAGACAAAGAAATGGTGCAACAGCACTCATAATAGCCAGTCAAAATGGTTTTGTAGAATTGGTCAAGCTACTCCTAAAGAAAGATCTTGATCTTAACATTCAAACAAATGATGGCATGACAGCATTAATTCAAGCCAGTTACAGTGGCCATCATAGTATTGTTGAGTTACTCCTTACTAATAAAGCCAATCCTAACATTCAGCAGGCTGATGGCAGAAATGCACTCATGTTAGCTAGCCAAAGAGGTCATTATCATGTGGTTGAATTGCTTCTTAAAGCAAATGCTAATCCTGACATTCAAAAGAAAGATGGTTGGACAGCACTAATGCTAGCTACTCTTGGTGGTCATCAACAAATAGTAGAGTTGCTCTTAAAGGAAAACGCTAATCCCGATATTAGAGAAGAACATGGATGGACCGCACTCCTAATAGCTAGTTTAAGTGGTCATCAGGAAGTGATAGAGCTACTCTTTCAAAACAATGCGAATCTTAACATTCAAGCTGGTGATGGGAAAACAGTGTTAATGGGAGCTAGCCTACTTGGTCATCATCAAACGGTCGAAGTACTCCTTAGACAAAATGTAGTTGATCCTAATATCCAGAAGAATGATGGATGGACTGCACTCATGCTAGCAAGTATGAATGGTCATCACAAAGTAGTCGAGTTGCTCCTTAAAGCAGGTGCTGATCCTAATATTAAAGAAGAGGATGACTGGACAGCACTCATGATAGCTTGTCAAGGCAGCCACTATCAAGTAGTTGAGTTACTCCTTAATGCAAATGCTGATATGAATATTGTAACAAACACAGGGGGAACAGCAATCATGATAGCCAGCCAGTCTGGTCAAGCAGAATTAATCGAGCTTCTTCTAACAAAAAATCCTAATGTCAACATTAAAGCAAGGAGTGGCAGGACTGCTCTAATGCAAGCAAGTCAATGTGGCTATCACAAAATAGTGGAGTTGCTCCTTAAGGCAGGTGCTGATCCTAATATTAAAGAAGAAGATGGTGGAACGGCACTCATGATGGCAAGTCAAGTTGGTTACTATCAAACAGTTCAGTTGCTCCTCAATGCAAATGCTGACCCTAATATTTTAGGTGATAATGGGTGTACTGCTATTGTAATAGCAAGTCAAAATGGTCACCTCCAAGTAGTAAAGCTGCTCTTTGCAAACAATGCTGATCCTACCATTCAAAAAGGAGGAAGAACAGCACTTGTTATGGCTAGTTTAAACAATCGGAAAGAAGTAGTTGAGTTTCTCATCAAAGAACAGGAGGATCATGGTTTCACGACTTTAATGAATGCAATTCACAGCGAAATCATTGAATTAGTACTTTCCTTGCTATCAGCTGGAATTATGACGTACATAGACGAAGGCCACATTCAAGCAGCAATACATTTTTCGAAAATGGAGTCTAAGGTTGATAATGAAATGACAGAGCTCCTGCGTTATTATGCAGAAGACGTTCATGGAATGAAGTTATCTGAGAGTCAAGTTGAAGTCATTACAATAAGTAGTGAGATGAAACAAAAAGTTAATCAAAGTAGCTACCATTTAGACAGTAACATTAGAATGGCCTCTCATTTAGCGCAGGACCCAGATGAACACCCATTACTGCGATATGCAGCACCACTTGATAAGCTTTCCAGCGATCCATATGCAGCAGAGGAACAAGATGCTACAGAGAAATTCAAGGCTGCAGCACTGAGAAAACTGGGTCAGTGACATTGGACTCAAATTTAAATGTTAAAGAATACCGATACAACTGTCTTTGTTTTTATAGTCTGTTTTGTAGCCTAGTAAGTTTAGTAGTGTGTTTTAAAACTTTTATTGATTTAATGTAAACAAAAATATTTATGGTGTCAAGATGTTCATAATTTCTATACCGTATGCGTCTTAATTTTTGAGGTGTATTAAATTTTGTTATTTTTGTGCTCACCTTAAATCCACGAAATTTAAACCACCTCTAATGCCATTCTATTGTATGTAGACTATGGCCATGCAGAACATTGAAACAGAAGACATTTGATGTTTCATTGTCAACAGAAGCACCAGAAGACAAGAGCTGCTCAGCAATGTCAAAATGATCAAAGTTACTTGCTAGCATTAATGCTGTCGCTCCATCGATCCTATCTTGATTAGGATCTGCCTTGTATTAAGAAGTTTGTTGACTATAGTAACATGCCCTTGTTTACTGGCTGTCTGTAGAGGAGTGAGACCTTTATTAGTTAGGATCACCTCCTGATTCAAGTAACATACTTAATATCTGTATATTACCTGATTCAACTGCTTCCTCAATACAGGGACTAATGGTATCAACTAATCCTAATCCATCAAGTGATAGTATGAATCATACCACATCAATCTTCTCCTCTCATTAAATACTGTGAAGGAACTAGTTTCATTTTTCTCCTCTTCTTTATTCATTATTTCATTCCCTCAGATAGCTAGCCTAATGATTCCAATGCTACTGATGAACTCTATCCTCTGTTTTGCTAGACTCACTAACGATGATGTCATTGCTTCAGGTACAATCATACTGACATAAACGCAGCCTCTCTTGACTTGAATGTGATCAAAGCAGCAACTCCTCTCTAAAAATATAAAGCCCAACATGCACTGAGCAACTTTTTTGCCATAGTAGATCTACCTTTGATGTGGTGAGGCAAGACTTGTTGCCAAAAGTTGCCAGTCCCTCTACTTTTTGCTACATGTTGCCCAGTGTTGCTCAACCACATCAAAGGTCTGACCAAAAGTTGCCAGCAACAAAGTTGCTCAGTGTATGTTGGGTTTTAGAATATGTAGATATGTATCAAAAAGAATTGAAAAATTGAAAAATTCTCTCCTTTTCATTTTTGGTGAAATTTGGCCAGATTTTTTAGCAACTACTTTACATGCAGGCATCAGAATTGTAATAAATATCTTTTGGACAAAATATAGCTGTTGCCCCCTGAAATTTGTAAAAAAAATTAAGGAAACAGTAGGAGTGGCAGTGGCACATATTTTTTTATAGCAAAGCCAAAGCGATCATCATGGTTGACTTATGTCAGTGGAGAGCTGCCATTGGTCTATGGAATTGCTCTCGTGTCAGTTTTAGAGGAGTGCCACAGCATTTATTTCGGACTCGAGACTATTGTTGTGAAGTAGTACCTCAAAAACACAATTGTACAGATACAGATCATGATACTATGACCAGATCCAGTTCGGCTGCTGCTCAAGATAACATTCTTCATCATAAAGTTTCTGCTACTGGTGAAGTTGCCACTATTATCAGTTGGGCTTGGTCTTTATTCTCTACTCCTGAAACTGTTTGCTTTCTATTCTACCTCTTCCTGCATATCCTTCTCCTCCTATCAGGAGATGTTGAACTCAATCCTGGACCAACCTCTGAAACAAAAGAAGGTACATTTAGGTGACTAGTCTCACTGCTCAGACCTCCCACCTACAGTCATTGGGGTATAAATTGATTCTATAATTATAATCAACCTAAACCCCCCCAATGACTGTAGGTGGGAGGTCTGGGCAGTGAGACTAGTCACCTAATGTCATGCATGCATGGATATGAGATATGAACACTCAATGAATAGTTCTTGTAGGTTCATTAGTTTTAGCTGTAGTAGTAATTTACTCTGCAATGTACAGAATGTTGATCGAGTATAGTATGAGTTGTTATTGGTTCATGATGCACTGTTTAGCATTAACAGTGTAAAGTTTACTTTGACAGTTCTAAAGCAAATTAAATACTGTTTGTTATTAACATGATAATAATTATTATTAAAGCAAAAATTATGATGAGAGTTGTTCTTTCAATATGTAGTTATTCGAAAAAAGATAGAAGCCAGTCTGCGAAGTAAGTATGCTGATCTTGAGCTTGCTACAAGAGGTTGTATTGGTGAGATAAGATCACAGCTCTATGCAAAAGAATTGATAGCAGATGCATTGAGGGACTCTGGCACTTATGCCCAAATAAGTGACGATATCAAAGCTGGGATGGGTGTGGATGAAAGTATTGAGCAGTTGACGAAGCGTTACAAGGATTTCTTGAACTCCCTTTCCTCTCAAGGGGGGCCCTGTAAAGTTGCAGCTGATCAGTTAAATGAAGAGCTGGAAGAAATTTTAAAACTTGAAGAATCACAAATTAAACATTGTGAGTTATTGCAACTTATTATTGTGCTGTCATAAATAATTATTTTATTTCATATAGCAGTCTCTTTAGAAGAGGAAGAACAAGTAATCCCAAAAGTCCCAGAGCCACATCAAGAGTTTAAATTGGACCCTGAAGCTGAGAAAACTATTTTAAAATCTATTCAGGAGTTAAGTAGCTCTTTTACTGCCTTATTACGAAACCTAAAGAATGATTTGGAAAAGGTTGGTGTTGCTGATGTAGTGGAATATTTGGAAGAGAATGGTTTAGACTACCTTCCACTTGAAGACCTAAAGACAGCTAATAACTTCAAGGATTTGATTAGAAAAGTTAACACACATTATGATTTCTTAGACTGCTCTCTTCTTCGGTTAATAGCTAAGGAGTTTGCAACAAAGGCTTTATTTGAAAAATTTGAAGAGCATTCAAAGAATGCTGCAAAGTTTCGGGAATCACATACAGTTGATGACCTTAAAGACAACTTAACAGAGATTTTTAATCCGTACCTTGATGATTTTGAAAAAGGGCCCATAGCATATATAAATCTTAATAAGGCCTGGGATTCAGTTCCATTGAGTAGACTCCCTACTCTCATTGGATGCTTCTTTCCTGACATCAGCACAAAATCCCTAACAAAACACATTCGAATTAAGTGCAGATCTGTTCACATCACATACTACATGACTGAATCACTAGATCAAATACAGCAGATAATAGCCTGTGCACGTGAGAGGGTGGACTTTATGAAGCATATTGGTCTCTACCATCTTGCTATTAATGGGGAAGTTATTTTAGATGAAGCCAAGAAGAATGATTTTAAATTTGAGTCGGCATTACAAGAAGCAGCAAAGGTAGGTGATAGTGAAGCAGTGGAAGTACTCCTTCAAATAGGAGGAGGTACTGATGTGTTGGGGGACATTTCTAAGGCTTTATTTCATACTTCTAGTAATAATCACTATCGAGTCGTTAAGCTCTTCCTTAATGAAGGTGCTAATCCAAATGTTAGAGACACTGATGGGGAACCAGCAATACATGCAGCTAGTAGGAAAGGTCATCATAAAATAGTCGAGTTACTTCTTAAGGAGAACGCTGATCCAGATGCACAATATCAAATTAATGAAGAAAGCATAGGCACCTCTCCTCTTGCCACCCTATTTATTGAATTATTTTCTATGATAATTGGCAAGACAGCACTAATGGCAGCTAGTACAGATAATCATTATCAAGTAGTTGAATTACTACTTAAAGCAAATGCTGATCCTAATATTCAAAAGAAGGATGGCCAAACAGCATTAATGCTAGCAAGTCAAAGTGGTCATACTGAAAGTATTGAGTTACTCCTTAAGGCAGGTGCTGATCCTGACATTAAAGAAGAAGATGGCTGGACAGCACTCATGACAGCTTGTCAAGGTGGCCATACAAAAGTGGTTGAGTTACTCCTTAATGCAAACGCTAATCTTAATATGACACAAGGAGATGGTGCAACAGCACTCATGATAGCCAGTCAAAATGGTTTTCTAGAATTGGTCAAATTACTCCTAACAAAAGATGTTGATCCTAACATTCAAGCTAATAATGGTACAACAGCATTAATGCAAGCCAGTTACCATGGTCATCACAGCATTGTCGAACTACTCCTTGATAAAGAAGCAAATCCTAACATTCAGCAGCTAGGTAATGGAAGAAATGCACTCATGTTAGCTAGCCAAAGAGGTCATTATCATGTGGTTGAATTGCTTCTTCAACAAAATTCAACCAATCCTAATATTCAGAAAAATGATGCATGGACTGCACTCATGCTAGCTTGTCAAGGTAGCCACTATCAAGTGGTTGAATTGCTCCTTAAAGCAGGTGCTGATCCTAATATTAAAGAAGAGGATGGATGGACAGCACTCATGATAGCAAGTCAAGGTGGCTACTATCAAGCAGTCCAGTTACTCCTTAATGCAAATGCTGATCCTAATATTGTAAGTGATAACGGGTGTACTGCTATTGTAATAGCAAGTCAAAATGGTCACCTCCAAGTAGTAAAGCTGCTCTTCACAAACAATGCTGACCCTACCATTCAAAAAGGAGGAAGAACAGCACTTGTTATGGCTAGTTTAAATGATCGGAAAGATATAATTGAGTTTCTCATCAAAGAACAGGAGGATCATGGTTTCACAACCTTAATGACTGCAATTCACAGTGAAATCATTGAATTAGTACTTTCCTTGCTATCAGCTGGAATTATGACGTACATAGATGAAGATCACATTCAAGCAGCAATACATTTTTCAAAAACGGAGTCTGAAGTTGATAATCAAATAACAGAGCTCCTACATTATTATGCAGAATATGTCCATGGAATGAAGTTATCTGAGAGTCAATTCAAAGTCATTATAAGCAATGAGATGAAGCAAAAAGTTAATCAAAGTAGCTACCATTTAGACAGTAACATTAGAATGGCCTCTCATTTAGCACAGGACCCAGATGAACACCCACTGCTGCGATATGCAGCACCACTTGATAAGCATTCCAGTGATCCACATGCAGTGGAGGAACAAGATGCTACAGAGAAATTCAAGGCTGCAGCACAGAGAAAACTGGGTCAGTGACATTTTGACTCAAATTTAAATGTTTACCAATAAGACGTATCTTTGTTTTTATAGTCTGTTTTGTAGCCTAGTAAGTTTAGTAGTGTGTTAAAAAACTTACTACTTCTAATTATTATTGATTTAATGTAACAAAAATGTTTATGGTGTCAAGATGTTTATAATTTTTATAGCATGCAAATGCAATGAAGCTCCACCCAGGTATGCAAAATGGTGTCACGCCATCGCCACTTTTTGTGAGACCATAAGATAGGCTAATATAACTTGAGAGTGGAGGACTCGTGCTTAGTTTTGAAGAACTATCCCCACTTGTATACCAGAAAATGTCTTTAGAGCGAGGCGTATTTATAATAGGAGCAGCCCGCACTCCATTGGGGTCGCTGAACGGCTCTCTGTCCAGTCTCTCAGCACATCAACTGGGTAGTACTGCCATCACTGCTGCTCTGAAGAGAGCTAAAGTATTACCAGAGAAGGTATGATGTGCAACCAATGATGATAGTATAATTATAGGAAATGATTGTTAATTGTGGGTATTATAATGGGTACTATCATTATTAATGGATACTGATAGGTTTCTGAAGTGTTGGTTGGTCAAATACTAACAGCTGCCCAAGGACAGAATCCGGCAAGACAAGCTGCCATGTTGTCTGGAATACCGAAAGAAGTACCGTCAACCAGTATAAACATGTTGTGTGGATCAGGTACAAATACATGTATATACATCAGTTGTCAAAAAAAACATTTCCATGTTTAGGTTTACGGACAGTTGCGATGGGCTACCAGAGTATACTAGTAGGAGATGCTGACATTGTTGTAGCAGCTGGTCAAGAAAGTATGAGCCAAGTAAGAGAGAGAGAGAGAGGAAGTTACTATTAGTATATAAGATAGAGGAAAGAAAATCATTTCATTAAAGCCTCTCCTTGTGTATATCTGCATGCATTTATGTGCAAGACTAAAAGTTTTTCATGTTTGGATTACTTTCATTACAGGCACCTCATGCTGTTCATTTAAGATCAGGCGTCAAGTTTGGTGATGCCAGTCTCACTGATACAATGATGAAGGACGGGCTAACTGATGCTTTCCATCATTACCACATGGGGCAAACGGCGGAGAACGTTGCTAAGCAATACAGTATCAGCCGAGAAGAACAAGACAGGTTTGCCGTCTCCTCACAAAACAAGACTGAGGAGTCACAGAAAAATGGAGTCTTTAAAGACGAGATTGTTCCAGTTGAAATAAAAACAAGAAAGGGCAAGTTAAAATGACTGTATGAATTTCAGTTAGATTTTATATCAATTTTGTATTACATAGGACCAGTGACAGTAGATACTGATGAGTTCCCACGTCAGGGTACAACCATTGAAGGACTTGCTAAACTCAAGCCAGCCTTTGTTAAAGACGGTAGTGGTACAGTGACAGCTGGTAATGCTTCAGGTAATTCACAATGAAAAGTGTACCATTATACAGCATCTGCAAATCATGAAAAATAAAATCCTTTCTGATTTTCTGTTAAACTGTAGCAAATGCTTTTTTAATTTCTTCATTTTCTTCTCTTCTCCTTCAGGTATAAATGATGGTGCTGCAGCCGTGGTACTAGCCTCCAAGGAAGCAATTGATGGATTGAGTTGTTCGTTACCATTGGCACGCATTGTCTCATGGGCACAGTGTGGGGTTGATCCTCAGATAATGGGAATGGGTCCAGTGCCAGCCGTCAGTAAAGCAGTGAGTTACATGCACCATGAAATAACAATCACAAACAATTAGAACAAAAGAGAAAATGGGGTATTATTTGAAAGTATGATTATGAGAGACTCTTGTACTCTATACACAAACACAATTACAATACACCCAGTCTTTACTTATTATTATCATTAATTCATGTAGTTGCAAAAGGCAGGATGGAATAAAGATGACGTCGATCTCTTTGAACTAAACGAGGCATTCGCCGCTCAATCGCTTGCAGTCGTAAAAGAGTTAAATATTGATGAGAAAAAAGTAAAAATTTACACGCTTAATAATAATCATAAAACCATTCTCTCTCTTTTAGGTGAATGTAGGAGGAGGAGCGATAGCATTGGGACATCCCATTGGTGCCTCAGGGTGCCGTATACTAGTCACTCTATTGTATGCACTCAAGAGAGTGGGTGGGAAAAGAGGCGTGGCTTCATTATGCGTGGGTGGAGGGATGGGGATAGCCCTGTGCATAGAAATGTGTTAATTAACTTTGCTATGACTCCATTATTTTTAAATGCAATATTATTTCTAGTACAATAATAAATATCTTATTTTTTGTAATGAAACATTTCTCAGCCTCTGTAGTGAGCAGTATCAAAATGATATTAATCGATTTTCAAAGTGAAAAATGTTTTATTGTCCATTCTGGTGAGAGGGTCTTTATCTCTGGGCCAATAATGACAGAGCCTTTATGCTCTGCCTCTTTCAAATATCTTTTAATAACAAAAAGGTCAGGTCTAATGAGAAGCAACCATCCTTACTTTGTTGCTACAGAAACCAGGTGGTCACCAGAGACTTCAAAAAGTCTTGAGCGATACTGTGCTCTCATCTCATGAGTTAATCCTTGAAGGAATAGAGAGCTACCTTTTGACCCAGGGGAGACTGGGGAATCAACCTGGAGAGGAAGGGGAGATCAACAATAAACGACCTCTTATCCCATACATGTACATGTATGTATTGATCTGGTTTCCCACAGAGCATGCTTTGCAAGCTAAAAAGTATGTGTTATGAGCTAACAGCCTAAAGGTATAAGGAGCAATTTTTAAAATTCATAAAAAATCCAATTTCGATCCGAATCAGCTCAAACTTTCTAAACAACATAAGAGCATGTATATGTATCAGAAAAAATTATTAAAATAAAAAATTCTCTCCTTTTCAATTTTTGGCAAAATTTGGGCCGAAACCGTGTACTATTATAGTACAGGGATTTTGTCCAATTTTGGAGCAACTTTAAAAATTCGTAAAAAATCTCATTTCGATCGGAATCAACTCAAACTTTCTACACAACATAAAAACATGTATATGTATCAGAAAAAATTATAAAAATGTGGAATTCTCACCTCTTCAATTTTGGCCAAATTTGGGCCGAAACCGTGTACTATAGTACAGGGATTTTTGTCAGATTTTGGAGCAACTTTAAAAATTCGTAAAAAATCCAATTTTGATTGGAATTAACTCCAACTTTCTACACAACATAAGAACATGTATATGCATCAGAAAAAAATTATAAAAATGGGGAATTCTCTCCTTTTCATTTATGGCAAAATATGGCCCAAGACCTTGTACAACATAAGAACATGTATCATAGCAACTTTACATAATTAGCTCTTAATATTCTCTTGCCTCTACCTCATACCTGAGAAAACACTGATAGCTTTGCTTCCTCTACATCTTCATCAGTGAATGATCTACTGGTGACCCAATCAATGGAATCATTGAATCGATTAACAGTATCAAGAGAATGTGGATCACTGTGTATTAAAAGGATGAATGCTAAAGGAGAAGATGCTGTCATTACCGATATGAGAAAAAAGAGAATATCCCATTGCCGTGCTTAGCCCCGCCTCCATAGGCACCACCTTTTTCTCTATTATAATTATAAGTAGCAATAAATAATTATTCAATTGAAAAAATATAATGTGAAAATATTATTATGCTGTGATATTGGCCTAAGCAAGGTATCAGAGTACCCTTCCAAAAATTGTTTATTCAGAACAAAGCAGGAAACAACAAGTGCTGATTATTGAGTGTCCTTTATACTCATTTAATTGTAAAAGGTATCGTGGGTTGCATTGACATGTGTCTAATGCTTAAATAAACTAATTATGACTTGTACCTACCTTTGTACTAACAATACCTTATTTCTTTATGAAGGTACTTCCATCCCATTAATTGTGCTAATACTCTCAAAGACGGCGAGTCCTCGTGTGTGTAAGGGACCGTCCTGTAAGACTGACCAACATAATACACTTGAAACGGCAGCTGGTAATGAGTGTGGCTTAACGTGGGTGTGACAGTCCCTTCTTCCATGAATAGGGGAGTGTCTGTGATGCTTCCTGGGAGATTATCAAGAAATCCTTCAGCAGCTTCAGAAGCGACTGTGAACTGAGGCTCAGTCACATTGAAAGCAACTCTACAAAGAGAGAGAGAGAGAGGAGGGGGAGAGGGTGAAAAATGAGAATTTCCTTACCTCATGCAGCCAGTGTCCAGTACAGCTACTGCAATTGATGCCAGTTTCTCTAGTACTGGTTTAAGGTCACTCGTCTCAGCAATGTCTTTCATGAATTTAACCTAAACATTGCAATGAGATTTAAATATTTTGCTACAGTATGCATTCGACACCATAAACAAAGTCGTTAAAGAAGATCCAAATTTGGATACGCTATATGATGTAAGGTATTATACAATATTTCATCAAAAAATGGTTCCAAGAAAATCCTCCATTTTTATCATTCACTTATGCTTCTGTGTATCAATACCTGAGATATTCCGCCATATTTCTCAGCCATCATTGCAGCTGGACTCAGAGAAGAAGCAGAGGCAGTCATGGCATACCTATGGCCACTACGGGACACATTCACTGCCAGGGAAGATGCCTCCATAGCAATCAATGTCTGTAGTCGCTGCTCATCTTGCAACTGTGGCCTAGAGCAGAGAATAAGAGAAAGGGAGAGGACATGAAAGAGTTGGGGGAGTTTGTTACTTGTTGAAAATGTCTTCCCAAATAGACAACATGTAAGGCAGATGACGGTCCAAACAGTGAGAGGTCAAGGCAATAGCCTAATGTAAAAATAAAATAAAATTAATACCAGGAAATAAATGAAGAAAATTTCCCAAATATACACCTACAACCTTTCATTCACTCCTTCCCTTACTACATATACTGTACATGTACATGCATTTCTTTCTACCTGTTCAAACTGGTTGGGTATGGAATGGTGTGATGCTACATGAGTACCGACACACACACTGCCTCCAGTGTACAGATCAATCTGTTGAGATAACTGCCTATAGTCCAAGTCCTGTGTACCCATCCTATGCAATGTATCATAGTACAGTAGATAAAGCAAATCTAACTTGGTAATGACTGAACAGAAAAGTGGAAGATAAGGTTTGAGGTCATCAGGTAAGTCACGACAACTGCTCAGGAACTGCAAGTAGGAGATACCATTAGTTGGCTGTACACAATACTGAATGGGAATGGACCCTAAAAATTAATACAACAATCAATAATAATGATGATGATAATATTTTAATTCACCATGATCTTCATGGATTAGTTCTGTGATGGGAGTAGTCTTGTCTACATCAGCCACGCTGAGTGATGGTAGACAGTCACTGGTTTGGTGCTTATTTTGATCTTCTTGAAGCTGAAGCCCTTCATCATAGACACGCTGTTTATCATCCTCTGAGAGACTAGAGACTAACAATCTCAACTTCTCTTCTTCTAACTCTTTTTGCTTTTTATTATACTCAACCTACAAAAAATTAGAAAGAAACCTAATTATAATTAATGGATCTCACATCAGGACTCATGACTAGTGTAAGATTATGCTTGTTATCAATGAAATATTCTTTGATCTTTTCTTTGAGGTAATTTGGGTCATTAGCCATGTGATCCTACAATCAATAACATGTCATAATAATTAGGAAAAAGGTTACAGACTCACTTTAAAGTTTTCAACATTTTGGTTGATCTGTAGCAGAGAGGTAGGGCTAGCCCCGTGTATCCATGGTGTTATAAAATGCTAAAAACAAATTAAAAAAATTAACAAGAAGCAATAATTGTACCATTAGCAATGCTAATCCAAAATTTGATGATTGATGCTTCAATCCTATTTCCACCTGATGTAGTATAGCCTTTACTCTCTCCTCTGGAAAACCTTCTCTTTATTAATTAAGTAGGTGTGGCTGAAAGTGTTAATACTCGTAATCAATTAATTGACTCACTGGTAGACTTTGTGAAATGTTTCGGTTATTATTTGTTTTACTTTCTCGGCATCTTCAGTTGAGATGCCTTGCAAACCAACAGAGAAATAAGAATCCTTTGTCCCATCATTATACCTAATAGAAAGCAATAAATACATACATATACATTTTGAATGTTAAGTGGAGCAATATTGCCAAGTATTAGTAGCCCTTGTTAATAATGGGTATGTATGGGAATGGGATTCCCTTTACCCAGTAGAAGGTGAATAATCTGATCCAATATTACTGTCTATTAGTGACTGGTAGAATGGTGAAGCTGCTCCATCAATTAATAGTTTGGTTAATATGCTCAACAGTAAACCTTCATATGAATCTGTTATCCTAATAACAACAACAATAATAATAATAATATATGAATTTAATTATTATTATTTACGGTCCAAGTAGATAAGCCACGCCTACTGTCGTCTGTTTATTAGGATCGGGTGCCATGGGGTCCGGAGCACAGTAAATTTCATGCGACCTCTAAAACAGAATACACATGCACAGTTAATGTACAGTATATCTTACTGGTTGGTTCCATCTTGCTTCCAATGGAATGGCAGCTGCAGGAGTCGAGACTGAGAACTTACTTAATACATTTTCATCAATGAAACTAAGATGATCTGATAATGGGATGTCCCCATACGTATAAAAACTATTAATAGAAGAAAGATATCATTTTCTCCCCTCCCCTCTCTCTCCATTACTATGAATTGCTTGGGTGATAATGTTTAGCATGAAACTCTTTCAAAGAGTCCCAGGTCAAGTCTAATATATTCAATGGAGCTCCTCCGCTCACGTGAGAGTAGGTGTGGCTTGGGAGGAGCTTACGCTGCAACTCAGTATCAAACAGATATTCAGCATTTGACTATAAATAATCCAAATTTATATCAATTTATATTTCATTATCTTACAAACATTCCTTTCATTTCGTTGAAGACCACACCCTTAAAAACCAAAGGGGTGTTCCTGTCGTTAGGGTCCTCATGCTCCAGCCTCCATCCTTCTTGATGAAAGTCCATCTTCTTTAGGTTAGGATGAAACACACAGTCACAGTAGACTGAGAGGAGATTACGATAGTCGTTGTAGTTTTGTGTAGAGAATGGATAGAATGTCCAATCATTTGCTAAGAGGAGAGAGAGAGAGAGAGAGAGAGTGAATAGTTAGGAGAGAGTGACATAATTAACTTCTCACCAGTGAAAGCATTCATGAATGTCGCTAGTGAACGAGTTAGCATTTTAAAGAATGGATCCCTTACAGGATAATGGGCTGAACCACACAATGTAGTGTGTTCTAGTATATGAGATATGCCGGTACTATCCATTGGTGTAGTTCTGAAACCAACACTATTAGGTACAAGAGTATGGAATTATGAGTATGAGCGTGGATGCTTTGATTAATGTGTGTGGGTGGTATAGCATACCCAAATACATTGTTGGAGTCTTGTCTTACTAGGTGCAAGTGTTGAGCTTTTGTTGACTCGTGAAGTAATTCTATAGCTTTTAGATTAAAATCAGATACTTCAGTAACCTAGTGTACAATGTATGTGCGTGTGAGAGGAATAGTTCAATAATTTTATATTTTCTTACTCCAGTAACTCTGTATCCACTTATTCTATCATTAATAGCAACTGTAAAGGAAAGATAAGGTTAATTTATGTACACAACTAACTACCTGACAGTTTGGACACATCTTCCCTTCTGGTACTGTTAAAGACTGTATTGTTGAGATGTATTAGCCTAAAAAGAAAATAAATTTAAGTGTTACTATACCTGTTACCTTCTCCTTCGACTAAGAAGACGAGGTGCTGAGAAGAGTTGAGCAGCCATTTGACACCACGTGACTTTAGTGACATTGTCTGGCGGGAAAACTTAATGTTTAAAATTAACAGGTAGATCTAGGTGTGGTTGGGTGTGGCTCATAGTAAAAATGCATGGCAGCTAGCCAGCTCATGGCTAGCTGCGTCAGTTTGCTCCGATATTTTGTATTATTCATTGTTATTGAGAATGTGCTTGCAATGCAGCCCTTCCGAGTGTTGCATATTATATATTCTAAAATAAATGTTGCGCTAAGGAGAGAAAAATATTAGATCTAGCTGCAACCATGGCACATCCATTGCTGGGATCAAGACTTATAAAGAAGCCATTAAGGAAAGCTCGTAAAGCTGTTAATAGAATTGCAACTGTCCTTCAGGTAAATAACCAATTGCAACAATCTGAACATTTCGCTGTTTCTAGGCACACCTCCACAAAGATGCTGGCATTGTAGTGAGTGAGATTATTGAGGGTGGATCATTAGGGCAGGGTACTTGTGTTCCAATGAAGTTTGACGTTGACTTAGTCATCTTTTCAAGAAGTACTTTTTATAATCAGTATAATTATAGTAAATACACATTTATATAATAGGTATAACACATGAAATGATCAGTAACCCTGATGAGCGGAAGGAAATATTAACCAAAGTGCAGCAATGCCTGATTCGTCGCTTAAAAGGAAACTATGTGGATGATAAAATGACACAAAACTCTGTCCAATTTAAATATAAACATTCGCCTGGACATACTATTGATGTTGATGTGCTGACATCCCCAATGTGGGAAAGTGCAGGGGAATTGTCACAGTACATAGCTGACCATTGCCCTGATCAATACTATCAGTAAGTAACATAATTGTTTGACTAAAGTATCATGTAAAACAATGCAAAGTTTGTCAGCAGGGGCTTCCAAATGGCAGACAGATTTTATACGACATCAAATGCCAAGGGTAAATTAACATCATTCAAATGATTTGATGTTAATTGTACTACCGTACGATAATCATAATAGGTGAAGGAATACATTAAGAGAGCCAAGTATTGGAAGAAGAGCATTGATTGGTCACCTGGTCGTGAGCCATCATCATACTTGATGTCTTTGTTAGTTATTAAAGCATCAGATTTGGTTGGAGAGCATGTAACTGGAAAATCACCTCCATCATTGAAAAAAATGGCAGCTAGAAAGTAGAGTTCTAGCTTCTTGCATGCATGGAACATTATTATTGTTTTGCTTTATGTAGCATTTCAGAAAAAATAAAAGAACTTGTCAAGAGCCATCATGCAATTGAGTAAGATTTGCAATTAATACTAAATTATGTATAATCTATTCATAAAGTATACAGTTTCAGACTCAATACATGTTCACGACAGAAGCACCAGCTCAACCAAGAGTGATCGATCCTGCTAATGTTTGCAATAACTTGTATGAGACAGGGTTTGGGAAACAAGGCAGGAGAGATGAACCAGGAGATTACTGGGATGTGTTTGCTAAGAAAATTGAGAGTTTGGATTTAAGCATTCCATTTGAAAGGCTTGGCCCCCTACCTTAACATGCTTAACGACTATTGCAATTATGTGTGGACTATTTTTTGCTGCATTTTTTAATTTCTAGTTTAGTTATTGTAGCAATATTCCCATGTAAAGTTTGGGTAGTTAGTTCTCTTTGCTGTATCATTGTTTTCTTTGCTGTGTCACTGTTGTAGCTATAGTGAGATTTTTAATAAGTTTTGATCATTTTTAAGGAAAATTATATTCATCCTTTTCATGGAAGAGGAGGGGCTCATTCATACAAAATAGGCGTGGTTTCTTGGATATAACTGCGCATGCGCAAGAACTTTCCTGGTAAGTGGTAACCGTTTGAAAGAGTTCCATCTCTGTGTTGGTTCTTTCTCCTCTCTTTCTAATGGAGGAAGGCTCAGATGGCAGCTCTAGCGTCCTCAGTAGTCCAAGCAGTACCTCTGCCACCTCTGCAGTATCTTTCAAGAAGCAGCCATTGCATCTTTATGGTGAATACAAGCCTCTTTCTGGTGTATACAATAAACACCATCAACCTTTACCTCTGGTACTGACTGGTATTAAAGACTCTAACAGTGAAGGTAAAATTGATATACTTCATGTCAATAACAGAGACGTATAAATACTTACAGTCAATTTAATTAAAATTAGATCTAATTCTTAAAATGGGTGGGACTTGGAATGTTTGTCATTATTTTCTCACTCCAGGTTTTATTTCTGCTCTCAAGTCACTCCAAAGCAAGATTCACCAATGACTAAATTACACCGGTAAAAAATAATAGCAACTACTCTATAATATAATTTTAATTTAGGTGCAATTGTCAGCCAAGAGCTCAGAGCAGCAGTTGCCATTGCAAATCAATAGACAGTAAGATTTATAAGACATCAGTATGACAGGCCAACACTCCAGATCACAGGAAGACCATTCTATTATTATTCTTCGTTGAAAATTGACATCAAAGATTCTTCTGTGATTCATTGTTTAATTATTGAATAATCATAACTGCATTATATCTATATTATTATTATCTTTGCTTGATTTGAATCTTAATTGCTTATGGTACACACCTGACCTCCATGACATTTCATCAAATTGTTGTGTTTTGTGCTTTTATGTTAATATTAACAATAATAATAAACAACAACAATAAATGAAATAAATCTCAAAAACAACTTGAACACAAAAATTGATACCAAAAATGATACACAATTTAAACAAAATTGTAACTACAATTCTAAATATAAACACAATCTTGTATAATTAATGTAAAAATGGAAATTTTCCTATATAAAAGTCTAGCTCTGATAGCTTACCCCTTTTCTTACATGTATTTCTATCATGTCTATAAAAACACTTATCAGATCCAAGTTCGTAAAATGTAATAAGATTACCCTCGTTTATTTTATCCAAAACATCTAGTTCAATGTCGAAATATCGATGTCCCAAAAGTAAATGCTTCAATTTTTTCTTGCTATTTATTGCAAGAGCGCTACCGAATTCCACAGTTATTGGTCCATG